AGCGTCAGAACACTAAGCACATGAGAGAGAGTGGGAACTTCCCAGAACATTGTATTGTGCCCCACCCAACAGAAATAACCCAGGTGGATAGCTTCAGCAAAAGGAGCTCCTCAGTTGCTCATAGAAAATCCCACCTTGGGGTTTACAAAGACTTATGGGTAGAAAAGCCATACTAAGTAATTTACTACACCGCAGTGGCACATGGTATACTCTGGGTTAAGCGTCAGCTGCTATCTTAATACTACGGTTTTTAAGTCTGTATTCAAACTGGTGTAGTGTTTTGAAGTAGAGTCGTCTGTTTTAATAAACAGAGGGAACTCTGGGTTAGGAAATCAGGAGCTGTCCCTCCTCTGCTAGTAGCACCTCCGACTCTGCTAGCAGTGTTACCTTACAAGGTCCTACTTCTCTCTGAACCCCGGTTTCCTTGTTTGTAAAATGAGGTGGTTGGACTAGGTAAGATCTGTAAAGATCTTCCTACCTCTGCAGTTTGCCACTAACAACTGAAAACTAATGAGCATTCTCAGGTAGTTGGAATGTATCCTCTGCAATCTTCTTTACATTTTTATTTTACAAAGCAAAATTGTCAGTTCTGGAAAATCCCAAGTTAGTGCATGCTGCTTCGGTGAGGTTTGTTAAAGCCCCTAGGGGTTACACTCTTACTAGTTACTGTTATTAATAGTGAGTATGAAGTCAGTCACATGTGCAAGGCAGAATGCTGGGCACTGCCAGGGATTCACCGGTTAGTGACACTGTCATTGCATTCACAGTCCTCTTGATGTACCTGAGCCTTGGGGAACCTGAGGCCTTTTCAGAGTGTTTTCGTGTACATTGTCTCTTTTCCTCTCATTTTAGCTGTGAGATACATAGATAAGCTTTATGATCTCCATTTGGTAACTGAATGCGAATATTGTAATCTTAGCAACTTCAGTGATTGGGAAGAGAAAAGAAAGACTTGGCCAGAGTGCCTGCTACATTTGAGGTGTTCATATCTATTTAGCAAAGAAGCTTGGTCTGGACTCTTGACTCACTCCTGGTAAAAGGGGAGAACATGAAAGTCTGGGTGTCTAAGGGAGTATCACCTGTTTGTGCAAAGGGCTGTTTTAGAGTGAAGAGAGGGGTTATTCTCTGCCCATTCCTTGGAGGAGGACATGCAGACAGGAGAGCTGAGCTCAGCACTGCCATAGTGGACTGTGTGTAGCTCTGAAGTAGGGCTGCAGCTTTTCTCAAGCAGACCTGAGGTAGGTGTAGGCATAACTGTGAGGCAGTCGCCAAGGTGGATCGGGGAAGGTGGACCAGGCTGATAATAGCATATTGCAGCCTTAAACCTTCGTCTTCTTTCCTGCTGTTAATGCTTAAGTTTGGGAGCATGGAAGTCATTTAGCAAAGGATCTGGTCAGCATTGCAGATTGTCATATGATTACCAGTCTAATGATTATTTTATTTATCTCTGAATAGTGGTGGAATGTTGTCACTGGGGATTCTTCACAGACCTTCTACACAAATGGAACCAATCTGAAGAAAATACACGTGTCCCCTGACTTCAAAACATGTGTGACTGTTGATAATCTTGGTATTTTATATATTTTACAGATTTTAGAGTAAAACAGTAAGTTGAATTCTTTTAAATTTCAAATTGGAAAAACATTCTAATGAAACTCTGTATTTCAACTTTTTATAAAGCTGTGAATTGTTTTGCAGTATTGCATTCATTACAAAAGTGTTTGTTGTTGGATGAATAATAATAATGTAGCTTTTCCCCAAGTGAACATCCTTTAATCTAGTTTTTTTTTTTATATATAATCATTATCTTCATTGTTAACAATTTGTCCTTAAGATGCAAATGAAGTGTAAATACATACCTTGTTATCCTGTTGGTATAATTCTCTCTTGATGCATCCGAATTGGTTGACGTAATTGACGAGAATAATTTGAAGGAAATCTGTGTTTTGCAGCCTGTGCGGCAGGGTAGCAGTAGCCTGCTCTCTGAACCGTTCGTACCCTCATTCTCCCAAATACAATTTGGGAGCTTATTTGCATGCTTTAAATTTGCTTTAAACAAACTATGTCTGTGCACAGTCTGCAACATTTCCTTTAATTAACTCGATTAGTGAGTCTTGGATTTCAAAAGTTCTTTCTATGAAGCAAAATTCAGGTGTGTCGGAGAGAGTAGATTTTACTGGTCTGCCGTTTTCTCACTGTAGTTGACGGCAGCCCTGAGCCATAACTGCTCTCCAGTTACCAGTATCTGATGGGAGCACTGTCCTGTCTCTGGTTTTTAAATACCAAACTTCTTACCTGTTTGAACTTGAGCTTTCTTAATCCTTACTTTTTCTTTGTTTAGTAGTCGATCCACAGTTAAATGTTAGCAAGGGAGGGGCTGATTTTAATGCTAAATTTTACTAATAGGATTTTTCTAAGAAATATCTTTTTCTATTTGATTTTTTTTTTTTTATTGTAGTTTGGGTGAAAGTAATAGAGCAAACTAGTTTTCCATTCTACGATTTATGCACATTTTGTTTTGTGATACTGGTTGCAGTCCCCTCGGTGTGCCAGCACTCTTCCTGCTTCTGCCCTGGGTTCCCCATTTGCGCTCATCTTTCCTTCCCTTCCTGTGTTCTGGTTCTGAACTTTTTTTCCCGGGCACATGCTGCCCTTTTGGTCTCCTGCGGTTGATTGTCCTGAGGAGCGCGCTCCTCAGGAGGGTTCTTGTTCACTCCATTTACTTTCAGATGAATGGCATTGTCAACGCTGCTTTCTTAGTGAATTTCAACAGAATTCTCTGTGGTTTTCTCCGCAGTTCCAGAAGTGTCACTGTGACTCTGGAAGATGTCAGTTTTCACTTTCCAGTCTTCCATCCAAGCAACCTGTCTTCCCTCTCTCCCTCCCTTCCTCCTCCTACCAAGGTTAATGGGGAAAGATAGTTTTTCATAGGGAAGAAACTCACCCGCATCAGTAGCCAGGCTATTTTTGACCTCCCGAATTAGAAACTTTAATTGAAGCTTAAATCTAAGCACTTTCACTGAAATAGATGAAAGGAAATGGAGATAAATTAAGAATAGATGGGTTTCTGTATTAAAAAAGTAACCACAAATTTTTGTTTCTGCCACAGGAACTGAAGCAAATTGGTGTTAGTATTAACAGTAGGTCGACATTGTGCCTGTTTCTGTTGTTGGTGCACATTAGTAGATGAGACGGGTGGGATGTGAACACAACCCCTCAGATGTGGTTTAGATTAGAGGGTGCTGATTACATTTGATAGGACCTTAAATAGAGTGAATAATTTTTTACACGGCTGAGGAGTTTTTTTTAATAGTTTATAGGCTTACTGTGATTTAAGCATATGTAATGTGAAAATCTTAATTTTATAAAAACAATTCTGTGAATGGTATGTATTCTGCTCAGAGTATCTAACTCATAATAGGATGCAGTGTTTAGGAGCTCATTTCATGTACAGCTTAGTTTAAACATTACTAGCTTTTGGAATTAAACACCTCTAGACTGTTAAACAATAAATGTCAACTTTTCAAAAGCCGTCATTGGCTCTTGTTTTAGAAGAAATTAAAAAGAAAAATGAGATACCATGAGGTAGAAGGAGCAGCTGAGCGTGAGCGGGCTGCTGGTTCAGACGGCTCCCGGAGTCCGTCAGCAGGAGGACGTGGCTTTGTAGTCGGCTGGTGCTGGTGAACGTGTTCATTGATTTTCTCCTGCTTCATTTTTTACATTGAAAATAACATTGAACTTTGTATATATAAAGATTTTTTATATTGCATGTGTCTTTGTATGTTTTGAAAACTTACCAGTTTTGTATTCATGATACTGTCTACATGATTTTCTTTTTGGTCTTGATGTATACATTTTAAAAATTGCACTTAAAAATGTTTACAAAAATAAAATGTCTTAAATCTTTTTGAAAACATTTTCAGATTATTTCATGTGCCTTGCTTGTCTTTTACTTGTTGATTAAAAGACTAAGGGGAAAGATTCTTCAAACTAAAGCCACCACCCTTTCCACCAATGTTTTATCAGCTTGGTGTAGACTCAATTCTATCAGAATTTTCTGAGTGTCTCTTCAGTGTGTTTCTCTGATGGTTGTTATTGACTGATGTGGCTGGCCTGGAGAAAATTCTGCAGAAAAGAGAATTCACTTACTCATTCACTCATTTTTAAAATTCATTCATTCAACAAATGTTTTGAGATCTACTATATGTCTGACAGGGAGCTCTGATAGCGTAGTGCATAAGGCACTTGACTGCTAATCAGAAGGCTGGCAGTTCAAACCCACCAGCCGCTCCTCGGAGGGGAGATGGGGCAATCTACTTCTGTAGTGATACTGCCTTGGAAACCCAATGAGGGGTCGCTGTGAGTCGGGTCCGACTTGACGGCACATAACGACAACAACAACAACATGTCTGACGGGAGCTCTGGTAGCATAGTGCCTGAGGCATTTGACTGCTAACCAGAAGGCTGGCGGTTCAAACCCACCAGCCACTCCTCAGAAGGAAGGCTGGGCAATCTACTTCTGTAATATACTGCCTCAGAAACCCAAGGAGGGGTCGCTATGAGTCGGGGCCAACTCAACGGCATATTACAACAACAACAACATATGTCTGACATGATTCTAGGTGTAGGAGATAGAGCAATGAACAAAACCGTCTGAGTTGAGCAGGGACAGACCGTAAAATAAATACGTAAATTCTATAGTGTATTAGGTGGTGTATTTAAATGGGGCATGGGTTGTAGTTTTAGATGCAGTGGCTCATTGAGAAAGTCACATTTGAATAAAGACTTGCAAGAGGTGAGAGGTGAGCCACGTATGTACCTGGAGAGCCATTCTGAGCCGAGGGTACAGCAGGCAGGTTGGTGTGGCTTGAGAAGAGTGAGTGATGGAAGTATAATAGAACATGAGGGCCGAGGGAGCGGGAGCCAGCACTGTGGAGGCTGCAAGGACTTGGCCTTTTATTCTCAGATGGGATCCTGTTTTGGTTACCTCTAGTGCTGCTCTAGGAGCTCTGGTAGCATAGTGGCTAAAGCACTTGATTGCTAACCAGAAGGCTGGTGGTTCAAACCCACCAGCAACTCCTCGGAAGGAAGGTTGGGCAATCCTACTTCCGTAGTGATACTGCCTCGGAAACCCAAGGAGGGGTCGCTATGAGTCGGGGCCGACTTGACGGCACATAACAACAACAACAACAACAGTGCTGCTCTAACAGAAGATACCACTAGTGGTGCCTAAGGCACTTGACTGCTAACCAGAAGACTGGCAGTTCAACTTTACCAGCCACTCCTCAGAAGGAAGGTTGGACAATCTACTTCCATAGTGATACTGCCTTGGAAACCTAAGGAGGGCTCGCTATCAGTCAGGTCTAATTTGATGGCACATAACAACAACACAAGCAACAACTTAATAATTGTGACAATCATTTCCTTCTTGGGCCCCCATCATCTTAGCCTGGTAACAGTTCTCCAACTCCCACCTCTGCCACCATTCGTGCCCCTCTGCCAAGTTCTTTTGCACAACATGATCTTTCCCAAGTGCCAATCTCAATCACATTACTCTACTTAAAACCTGAGCCTGCCATGTGCTCTCTTGATTTTTGTGGCTTTGAATATGCTGTTTACTGTTTTCCCCTAAAGGTTTTTTTTGTCACTGACTCCTCATCTTTCATGTATTTATTGAGATGACCCTTCTGCTGAAGGTCTGCCCTGACTCCTGTAGCACCTTTTTGTCTGTGATGGCTTTATGATCCTGCATGGTAGTTCCTTGTTTATTTATCAGGTTCCCCCATTAGACTATAAGATCTTTGAAAGCCAAGTCTGTATCTTTTATATCAGAGGCTAACATACTAACCAACCAGTTGCCATTGAGTTGATTCTCACATAAGCCACCATAAGTTTTTGTCCAATGACTGAAGTTCCCACATGCATATATACCCATAATGCATTCAGTCTTCTCCCTCTCCACAAGGATATCACAACTGTCATATTAAGATGTAGTGTATCACCAGCATTTTCTTTATCTCTGCATTTTGGTTTACTATTCTATTGTGATGCATCACTGTTGTTAGGTGCTGTTAAGTCGATTTCAATTGGTAGTGACCTGATATGACAGAGTAGAAATGCCCTATAAAGTTTTCTAGGCTGTAATCTATGCGAGCAGATCACCAGTTCTTTCTTCCATAGAGCTTCTGGGTGGGTTTGAACTGCCAGCCTTTCACTCAGCAGCCGAGAGCGTAACTTGTGCACCACAAGGGGCTCCTTGATGTATCAGTAAGGGAGAGTAAAACTTCACTTGGATGAAAAAAGCTGGATAATAATTATATGAAAAGAGTAAACATATTATTCCTGGAGTGTTTATGTTGGCAAGTATGGCAATCTATTATTCAGTAAACATTTTATTTGCAAATCTTTAAGAAAGGGAAAATGATTTTCCAATAATTGTTAGTCTCATTTTGAACATTTACCTCAAGTAGATAACACTCCTTGGAGAGAACAATCATGGGAGAAAGAAGGGCAGCTTATGCACAGGGAGACAGCTCAGGGGGCAGGAGTGCATGGAGGGATGGACACTGGGAAGAGGTAACTATGGGGAGGAAGTGGGAGGG